GCAAGTATTTTGTGGATTTGATAACTTATTTTGGAAAACATAATTATCAACACAATATTTTGATTCTGTAGCACTCCATTCATTATTATTTTCACTTTCTTAGACTTTCATACATTTGAAACTTACATGTCATTCAAAGAGGCATCTACTCTAAATTTCAAATTTCATTTTATCATGGAAAGGGTGAAAATAAGAATTCAGCGTAGACTGAAGAAGGAAGGTTTATTCATTTTTTTTATATTGCATGAATTTCTCTTTACTTGCACAGTGATAATACAGAGTTTTTAAATAAAGAGCATTACAGAGCTTCAACTCTCCACTGTTTTATACAATGTACACAACTGTTTCTTTTGTGGGAAACCATGGAAACAGTTTAAGAGTGAATCATTTCGATAAGTTTTATATGATAAATCATTGTCATATGTTATTGTAATAATGGTCACAGATTCAATGCAGATACTTGATTTTCTTTACTTGTATGTTCAACAATTGCGCAACAAACAGATTGTCATTTGTATCTGTACACAGTCCCCAGGGTCTACTCAGTCCACAGTCTATGTAACGGAGGAACTGTCCATCTTGGTCTATGATGTGGACACAGTCATTGTTAACATCAGCTGTAAGGATGTGACTCTGACTGTCTGTGGTAATTCCTAGTGGTTTGAATAGTTTGTTCTGCAGAGCAGGAGAATGTCCAGTGTACCTGAATCTCAGTTTCCCGGCCTGATTGACCACTACTACTGCTTTAGCTCCACTGTCGGACACACAGATATCCAGGTTTTTGTTCTCTGCTATATACTTTCTATAACTATCAAAGGAATAGAGAGGTCTACCTTTATCATCAAACTGAATGGACTGTTTCTTTGTTGAGCCAGTGTAACGGACAACTTTTGCTTGTTTGTAATCATCACTGTCCATGATAACCAGGAGGTCACCAGAGGATGTACTACAGACACTGCGAGGTCTCCAGTTCTGTATTCGGATAACCTTCTCTATCTTCTCATTCTTCACAATGTTCACAGTTCTATCACTGGTATCAGTATAAACTAGATCTCCACTTTTTGTCACTGCTATGTCAAATGGTATTTTCCATGACTTGGTTGTGATTGACTTGAGTAGTGATCCCTGAATGATGCTGTAGAGTTTCATGGTGCTGTCACATCCATTTGTCCAGATTTCTTCATCACTCAAACAGACCACATTGTAAAGGTTATCTCTATACCCAGTGTCTATTGTGGTGACAGTCTCTGGTCCATCAAGCAGCTGTTTGACTGGAGGATAGGATCCAGCTTCTGGTGATTTCTGTGTTGTCTTCATGCTATAGCCATGTTCATCTGTTTTTAAAGAATTTGATGATAAGGCTCCAAATATTTTACTTAGTTCTTCCCAATGAATTTTTCCTGGAATGAATTTGGGTAACAATGGTATGATTTTGTGTGGAAGATTTCTGTATGTGTGTACATTAGACATGACACTAGATAGTTTTGACAAGTCATTGGTGTTTATTGCAGTTTCAATCAAATCAATTTCTTCTGTGATGTCAGATATTGTCTTTTTTATTTCATCCAATTGTTTCTGAAGAGTTTGTAACTGCGTATTTTTCATCTCATCAACTTCAGCTTTAAGTTTCTTGACAAGTTTGTCAATTTCTCTGTGCCAGTCCTCTCCATGTTTTGCTATGGCTGTTGAAAGATCTCCATATTCCTTTTCTAACTGACTCATTCTGTTTTGTACATCAGAGGCAATGCCCTGGTAGGTTGGATAAATTGTGTAATTTAATTCATTTGTTTCCTTTGCAAAAATATCCTTCTTTTCATCGAAAACTTGCAAGACTTCAGATAATTCATGACCTAAATGTTGCTTGGATGCAAGACAGCTAAGACAAACAGAAAATAAGGGGCAGAGGAGGAGGTAGTATTAAACCATTGAATTATCTTACATCGCTGTCCAATGACCAATTTTCCTGGATAGAGATTCTGTCGTTGTCACTGAGATCTGCGTGGTAGGATACAGCCTGGATACCAGATTTCCTCAGCTCTGCATCTACCATGTCATACTCCTTCCCATAAAATCAGATCCATGTTAAAAATTGGAACTCACTCAGATCCAGCTCAGAGTTGTTAAAATTTGTTTTTACACTAGTAAAGCCATTCCTTTTCTGAGTTGATAAATCTATTAGTAATCAGTACCTGAGGCTAAAAGTTCTTTCAGTAAATACCAGCTTAGAACAGAATACTGACCTTGAAAGACAGTACACAATGCCACACTTTCCTGGGAACTGTTCCTTTATCAGTTTTGTCACATCTGCTGTTAGTGTTGACGGTTTCTTAGGTTCAACTTTAAATTTGGGCATTTGAAGCTTTGCACAAAGCTGTAGAAAGCCAATCGAAATAAATATATAAGTTAATTATGCTTTTCAATTAAGTCTGTGAGCCAATGCTCACAAGTTAGAATAGGTCCTCAGTACGCCCTTGCTTGTCGTAAAAGGCGACTAAATGGGAGGTCCTTCGGATGAGACCGTATAAACCGAGGCCCCGTGTCACAGCAGGTGTGGCACGATAAAGATCCCTCCCTGCTCAAAGGCCGTAAGTGCCGAGCATAGGCCTACATTTGCAGCCCTTCACCGGCAATGGTTACGTCTCCATATCAGTGAAATATTCTGGAGAGGGACGTTAAACAGTATACAATCAATCAATCACAAGTTAAACCCCCACTTTGATGTGAATATACACATCATGTGAATAAACATCAGTTCAGTTACAGACAGATGAAAGGATAAATAGAAAGTTGACATCGGATTTGAACAAAAATGGTTAACTTCTTATGGAATGCCTCAGCAAAGAAGTGCTAAAATTACAAGCATCTGTGATGAGTGGTTGCTGAGAAAACTGTGACGAAAACTTGTTATGCATGGTAGGGACAGACGCACGGATAAATAAGATGTTGACATCGCATTTGACCAAAAACAAATCCCACCACATGACATACCTAACACAATCAAGACAAGGAACACAAGGCAGGTGTGCCAGGTTTATAGAATGCTTGGCACCTGATCCTACCTTTTATTTTATGTCTCATCAGCTCCTGATTTGTAACAGACTTTTGAACTTGATTACTGTTTGTTATCTCTATATATTTCATTTAGAGAACCTAAGATTTGTTTCTCTATCAAACTCAGATCAACATCAGAGTATTTGATAAAATATAAATCTATCAAAGAACTGTTCAAGTTTCAAATTCTCAATTGAAGTCAGGAAAAAACCCAAACAAACAAGAAAGAGCTCAAATAATGATTAAGAAATGGCTTTATTTACACTTAATTTCAAATCAACTTTCGTAAGTAAATGTTTATTTCATTCAAATTTAAAAGTAAGTACCAGCCCCACCACTCAGAAATGATCGCTTCGGTTGTGGGACTGGCATAAATCCTAAGCCACCCCTGGAACTATTGAAGCTACCCCTGGAACTATTGGTGCCACCTCTAGAACTGCTAGATCCTTCCCTTTGATTTTTTCCAGCACTTGGGACCTTCTTGGATGATCCTCTGGAGAATTTGTAGACTGAAAATTTGCTCCCTTTTTCAGAAAATCCGCTGCAAAATTAAAGCACATTCATTGAAGGTAAAAGTTAAAGATGTAGAAAAAAAGCAGGAATATTGTAGTATGCATTGGAAAAGAACTATATCTCAAAAGATGACAGAATGGCAAAGAAAAAAAATCAACTTATTAATTCAACTTTTTCATAAACCATATATATTTCATCCCTTGCCCTAGCCTCCAGTACAGATTACAATTAACAGACCCTGCTTGTCCCCCCCCCTTTTTCGTGGTTTTTGTACCTTACCCAGAATTCCCTGAACCTGACTGGCTTCTAGCGCCCCTCTTCTTTCTTCCGAAGCCTCTCTATAAAGTAAGAAAGTTTTTAAAAAATTACATGAATAATAAGCACATAAACATCGGTAATCAAAGATTACAACGCTCACCTCGACGAATGTTGTTAGTTTAAGTAAAGCAAATCTCGCATCATAATTTTTTCTGAACAGTTTGTATTTATTCTGACAACAATATTCAAATAAGTTCTGTTTAAACTGGTATTAAGTTCTTTGGGGATTGACCTGTTCCAAAAACTCGTCTGGAAAATGTACGTCAGATCAAACATCCTAAGCAAGTTTAGATTGTCCATCCTTAGATGCATCATCCATGCAAGTTTGGTCTAGTTGGGGCTTATATTTTATTGGGAATAACTTGGTCACTAATCTGGAAAATGTAGGTCAGATCCAGCATCCGAAGCAAGTCTGGTAGTGCATCATCCATGCAATTTTGGTCTAGGTAGGGTTTATAGTTACTTGGGAATGGATCTGCTCCAAAAACATTAACCTGCCACTCATTTGAAAAATGTAGGTCAGATCCAGCATCCGAAGCAAGTCTGGTAGTGTCTATCCCTAGATGCATCATCCATGCAAGTTTAGTCCAGGAAGGGCCAATAGTTACGTGGGAATGGACCTGCTCCAATACTTTAACCTGGTCACTTATCTGGAAAATGTATGTCAGCTCCAGCATCCGAAGCATGTTTGGTAGTGTTCATCCCTAGATGCATCATCCATGCAAGTTTGGTCCTAGTAGGGCTTATAGTTACTTGGGAATGAACCTGCTGCTTAAACTTTAACCGGGACGCCAACGCCGGGGGTATAGCTTAAGCTCATCTCGACTTCATCAAGGTGAGCTAAAAATCTACATAATTCATTATATTCACTTGTTTGAACATGATAAAATACTGAGAATTAGAAAATAAATCATAAATGTAACTAATCAGTGCAGTTGTAGACCCCCCTCTTTCTGTCTGTGTTAGACATAAATAAATGTAACTAATCATTGATGTTGTAGAAGTACCTTTTTGAAGCCCCCCCACCCCCCCCCCCTCTTTCTGTCTGTGTTAGACTTAAATAAAAGTAACTTATCAGTGATGTTGTAGACCCCCTCTTTCTGTCTGTGTTGGATGTAAATATAAGTAACTAATCAGTGATGTTGTAGACCTCCCTCTTTCTGTCTATGTTAGATGTAAATAAAGGTAACTAATCAGTGATGTTGTAGACCCCCTTCTTTCTGTCTGAGTTAGATGTAAATAAAGGTAACTAATCAGTGATGTTGTAGACCTCCATCTTTCTGTCTGTGTAAGATGTAAATAAAGGTAACTAATCAGTGATGTTGTAGACCTCCCTCTTTCTGTCTGTGTTAGATGTAAATAAAGGTAACTAATCAGTGATGTTGTAGACCTCCCTCTTTCTGTCTGTGTTAGACTTAAATAAAAGTAACTTATCAGTGATGTTGTAGACCTCCCTCTTTCTGTCTGTGTAAGATGTAAATAAAGGTAACTAATCAGTGATGTTGTAGACCTCCCTCTTTCTGTCTGTGTAAGATGTAAATAAAGGTAACTAATCAGTGATGTTGTAGACCTCCCTCTTTCTGTCTGTGTTAGATGTAAATAAAGGTAACTAATCAGTGATGTTGTAGACCCCCCTCTTTCTGTCTGAGTTAGACGTAAATAAAGGTAACTAATCAGTGATGTTGTAGACCCCCTTCTTTCTGCCTGTGTTAGATGTAAACTAGACATCATTGAGATGGTGGCCATCTCAAAGGGCCCCACTTTCAACAATGAACATGAAAATGTAAGGTAGTTTAAAAGTGTTTATTTTGAAGAGGAACATTTGTGTAATACAGTAAAAGTCATTTAGTACGACTTCAAGGGTATTGCGAATTTACAGATATATATGGAAGTTATCTTGTATCCCAGATTATATAAATTTACTGGAATTAAAGGGAAAAAATTATGCACCAAACAAAGATTTTAAACAAAAAGGGTAATTTTGACCATGACATAGAAACTTCTACCAAGGTCACTGCACATCCATTGGCCAGTGGAACTCTGTGAGTGAAGTAATAGCCAGATTGGGCCAAGGAGAGGGAATATATGCTCCGAACAAGGATTTTTATAAAATTCTGCTATGACCTTGACCTTTGACCTAGAAACATGGTGAAAGTACACTGCACTCCAGTTACCAAAAGGCATTTTGTGGGTGAAGTAATAGCCAGATTGGACCAAGGAGAGAGAAAATATGCTCCGGACAAGGATTTTTCATATAAGTCTGCTATGACCTTGACCTTTGACCTAGAAACATGGTTCAAGGTTATTGCACACCGGTTACCCAAAGGCACTCTGTGGGTGAAGTACGAGCCAGATTGGGCCAAGGAGAGAGAAAATATGCTCCAGACAAGAGATCTCGGACGGCCAGCTGGACAGACAGACTGATCACTATAGCCTTAGGGCGCCCGCCAAGCCGGGCCCTAATAAAGGTAACTAATCAGTGATGTTGTAGACCCCCCTCTTTCTGTCTGTGTTAGATGTAAATAAAGTTAACTAATCAGTGATGTTGAAGACCCCCCTCTTTCTGCCTGTGTTAGACGTAAATAAAGGTAACTAATCAGTGATGTTGTAGACCCCCCTCTTTCTGCCTGTGTTAGATGTATATACATGTATATGTAACTCATCAGTGTTGTAGAAGTACCTTCTTGTAGGCTCCCCTCTTTCTGCCTGTGTTAGATGAACCAGCTGACTCATCTACGAAGTAGGGAGACTCCCACTCCGGAACATCTGATTCCACCTCCCCTTCCTCTTGTTGTAAATCTACAAAGGGAGATCAATCATAGAGTATAAAGGGAGTTCAATCTAATGTACAAAGGGAGATCAATCTAATGTACTAAGGGAGATCAATCGAATATATCTTATGTACAAAGGGAGATAAATCAAAGGGTAAAAAGGGAGATCAATCAAATGTACAAAGGGCGATCAAGGGAGTACAAAGAGAGATCAGTCAATGGGTAAAAAGGGAGATCAATAACACCACACAAAGACGTCAAATATAGGAGATCAATTAAGTTATAAAAGGGAGATAAAGCAAAGAAAGCAAGATTAATGGAGATCATTAAAAGAATCTAGAAGTTTAGTCAAACTAAATATGAAGAAACATCAATAAAACAATTAAATTGGAATTTCACTTTACAATGCTGTCTTTCTTTTAGAAATATTTTAAAGTCTTAGGCCAAAAAAAATAATCAATTGTTTCTCAGGCCAAAAAAATCAAAATTCAATGCGGCAGGCAGGCTTTTTTTTTTTTTTTTTTTGGAAGCAGGATTTAGTCTACGCCTTTTTTTTTTAAGTCATTTGTTCAATAAAATGATAATATCTACTAATTCTTAAGTTTTGTTCTTTGAAATTAATTATAATATGTAATCAACTTTAAATAATGTTAATCCAAACATTTATTCAAAAGTTAAGTTATAAAGTACTGTAGATTTAAAAGAAAGATATTGTTTTTTCTAATTAAAAATGTCTATCTTAGGCTATCTAAATTTAATCCCCTGGTTCTCAGGCCAATTTTCTCCAAAACAGATGCGGGAGGGCGGCATTTTATTTTTCATTTTATTGGCAATAAAGTAGATGAGGGAGGTATTTTTTTAAATTTTAATTTCCGAATTTTCTTTAAGATAAAGATAATTTTTTTAATCACAGATATACTTTCCATTTCTGGTCAAAATTTCTGCTTTATCCATTGCTTAACAGCGTGTAAACATCGTAGGTAATGCCCTCGAATGTATTTTCAAACGAAGTAGCCAAAATCTCATTGTAAATGGCTACCGGAAGTGATGTTTGAATACTAAACTACGAAACAAATGAGGTTGGAAATTTTTTTCCCGGATTGGTCTCCGCAATACCAACTTTTTATTTTATCAAAAATGCAATAAAATCAGCAGTGCGGCTACCTCAAAACGGATGCGCGCAAAACGGATGCGCCTAAGAACCAAGATTTCAATTTTTTTTGGCCTTAGCATTTATGCAAAGGGCAATAAGTCTATTTTCTTTTTCAACTTGGAAAAATAGAAAATTGATTTATTTCCCTTTTCAATATGTCAATAAAATTGATCAATGCGGCTGTTTTTGAACTGATGCAGCAGTGCCTGAGAAACTATTTATTAATTTTTTTTGGCCTTACAAAAAAAAAACCATTTAATTCAAAATTCTCCTCATTTATAACACAATTTTAAATCTATGTCACAGCTTGGAATATGCAGATTAGCGTAATTAACTTACCTGGTAGGATAAGATTATAATTCTTGGTGAGTTCAAGGAATCTCTCAGCTCCATATTTGTTGACTTTGGCTTTCGGCAAACCATCGATACTTGCCGTCATCTCGTCTACAGTCAATGGCGTCTTTTCGGCCAACTGTCACAGTGTTAAAATCGGAAATACAGTTGCGTAGTTACGTAGGCCATGCTCAGCAGCTATAAAAAAGTTTTCAATGCTTAATTGTAACTATTCAATATAATGGAAAAAGGGAAAGTACAAAAAAATTTACAAGTTTAACTTAAAATTTGTTTAAAAAATCCTAAAGTTAATTTAGATGAATACCACTGACTTGTGTCATAAAGCTGTGAAAGTCAACCTTACCGATTGTCTTTGCCATTTCTAACAGTTCGTTGAGACATTCTTCGATCACGTTCTCGCATTTACTGACAGGTTCTTTACCGATCTTAGCCACTTCAGTTCTCTTCCTACTTCCTTGCACTTGTAGCTCTACCTGCAAAATATAATTTTTTTTATCAGAAAGAATTGAAAATTTCATCTAACGGGTACACAATTTGTAAACTCGCTGTATATCAAGGACTAGAGACTAAATTTCAACAAGAGGCCCACAGGCCTTATAGGTCACCTGAGCATCATGCAACAACTTTCAAATGATTGAATTTATTTCATGTTTTAAGCTAGCTGCTATTGCATTCACGATTTTGAAAGAGGCACCAATGCTAATCATAACTATACACTTAGCAATTGTCTAGTTTTTTTTACTTAATACCCATAAGCAGGGTAGGGAAACAAAAAAGTATGTCAACTAATCAGTAATATTCAGCGATAATCAGTGCTCCTACCACACATGAACCCCTGACCCTAGGTTTACACATTGCTTAATTTTTGAAAAGGCACACTGGCTTATCAAAAATGTTTGATTAATACCAAGGAGCATATTTCAAACAATTCATTTTCAGTATATAAGTAGAGCCCCCCCCCCCAAATTTTGGTATCCCTGACCCAGGGGCCTTGAATTTCACAATTCTGGAAGAAGAGCTCATCATAAATATGTAAAATGTTCATCTGCTTATTACCCAGAAGTAGAGAAAAAGATTTTCATAGATAAAATGCATTTTCACTATATAATCAATAGAGCCCCGCCCTAACACCATAACCCCTGACCCTGGGGCAATGAAATTCATAAATTATGTAGAGACACTCTTGCTCATCATAACTATGTCCTTAATTAGTTTATTTAATACTCAGAAGCAGAGAAGAAGATTTTCAAAAATTTAATGCATTTTCACTATATAATCAATAGAGCCCTGCCCTTACACCATAACCACAGACCCTGGGGCCAAAAAATTCACAATTTTGGTAGAGGCACTCTTGCTCCTCAAAACTATGTACTTAATTTTTTTTATTTAATACCTAGGAGCAGAGAGGAAGATTTTCAAAGATTTAATGCATTTTCACTATATAATCAATAGAGCCTCGCCCTAACACCATAACTCCTGACCCTGGAGGCCATGAATTTCACAAATTATGTAGAGACACTCTTGTTCATCATAACTATGAACTTAATTAGTTTATTTAATACCGGGAAGCAGAGAAGAAGATTTTCAAAGAATTAATGCATTTGCACTATATAATCAATAGAGCCCCGCCCTAACACCAGAACCCCTGACTCTGGGGCCATGAATTTCACAATTTTGGTAGAGGACTCAATGCTGATTACAATCATAACAACAGTTTGACTGCTTGATGTCCGGGAGTAAAGTAGAAGATTTTTAAAGATTGCACTAATTTTAGTGGTTTTTGCCCCACCCCCCAGGCCCCAGGGGGGCAGGGACCACAAAATTCACAATTTTTGTTCCCCTTCACCCATAGATGCTTTATGCCAAAATTGGTTGAAATTGGTTCAGCGGTTTCAGAGAAGAAGCTGAAAATGTTTAAATGTTAACGCACGACGCATGACGAACGACGACGGACGAAAACAGATAGCAATAGGTCACCTGAGTTTACTCAGGTGACCTAAAAATTAAATCAAGTTTCAATTGATGTACATGAATATAGAACTTCCTTTAAAAATCAAAACATCTACAAGTTTAATTTTTTTTTAAAGGATATTTTCCTCAAAACATTAGTTGGGAAGTCCTACCTTGCGTTTTCCCATCATCACATCATTGGCTTTAGGTCCGAGCCTGATATAACAAGCTGTGGTGTCTGTCGCAGTAATTTTTATATCCTCATGTAAAATGGCATCAATAACTAATTTTCTCAGCAGTCTTTCAGCATCAGCCCTGCTGTAATTTTTACCACGACCATGAAGGGGTATCCTGTCATGCCCAGCATCAGAAATTTTACCAGTTTTAGCTCCTTGAAATGTAAATTTGATCACCATAAGTATCAAATTGTATGCCTCGCAAAAATAAGGTTTAAGGAATCAAGACATTTTGTTCAAAGCACAAGCAAACAGATTAAAAAGATTACACTGTAGATGATTTCTGAGATGAATTCCCCACTATCTTTCTTTACTTCTAAATATATCCACAAGTAGATAAGGGTGTACCTCTAAATATATCCACAAAGTAGATAAGAGTGTACCTCTAAATATACCACAAAGTAGATAAGAGTGTACCTCTAAATATATCCACAAAGTAGATAAGTGTGTACCTCTAAATATATCCACAAAGTAGATAAGGGTGTACCTCTAAATATATCCACAAAGTAGATAAGTGTGTAGTCATTTCCTCGTCTTCCATTGACGGTCAGATCCTTCACACATTTCACAATCTCCTTGACATCATCTGTGACATCACGCAGTTGGAAGGACTCCTTTATATATAAGAAATTGATTAATCATCCTTAATTGTAGATGAAAACCCTCCAAAGCCTAATCAGAAAAACTATTAACATTTGCAATGTAGAATGAAATGAAGCATTGTGAAATGTGTTGAGTCAAAATTCAGAAAAAAGTAAACAGAACACATTGTCAATTTAGAGAATTTGGATGGTATATCAGGTACTGTTCTCAAGTGGAGCCAGTTCTATTAAGAACCCACGCTTATAACATAAACTATTACACATGTAGCAGGTATACAAAAATCAAAAAAAAAAAAAAAAACAAAGAATAAAATTAACCTTAGACACACAGTTGTCACAAATAGCTCCACGGAAGTTCCCACACTCCTCTCTATTAAAGTCTCGTTCTCCGAAGTATTTAAGCAGCTGTGATCGTCGACAGTCAGCCACGTTCTCACAGTACTGTACCATTCTGAAGAGGTTGTCTATATGAACTCTCTTGGAATCAAATGTGGCTGCCTGATCCACTGTGAAAAAAACAAAACATACTCAACATTTTAGATTTAAAGTCAAAATATGGTTGTTTGATTTTGAACAAAATCAAACATGTTTCCAATATGTACAGTTTATATAATGACCTTCATACATGTTTAAAAAATATAATTTTTCCACAGAACCCCCCTACTTACTCTCTATAATCCTCCTCAGTCTTTTGACATCCTAGTTTGTGTAATACATTATAACAGACCCCCTACTTACTCTCTATAATCCTCCTCAGTCTTTTGACATCCTGGTACGTGTAGTACATTATAACAGACCCCCTACTTACTCTCTATATAATCCTCCTCAGTCTTTTGACATCCTGGTACGTGTAGTACATTATAACAGACCCCCTACTTATTCTATATAATACTCCTCAGTCTTTTGACATCCTGGTACGTGTAGTACATTATAACAGACCCCCTACTTACTCTCTATAATCCTCCTCAGTCTTTTGACGTCCTGGTTCGTGTAGTACATTATAACAGACCCCCTACTTACTCTATATAATCCTCCTCAGTCTTTTGACATCCTGGTACGTGTAGTACATTATAACAGACCCCCTACTTACTCTATATAATACTCCTCAGTCTTTTGATGTCCTGGTACGTGTAGTACATTATAACAGACCCCCTACTTACTCTCTATAATCCTCCTCAGTCTTTTGACATCCTGGTACGTGTAGTACATTATAACAGACCCCCCTACTTACTCTATATAATCCTCCTCAGTCTTTTGACGTCCTGGTATGTGTAGTACATTATAACAGACCCCCCCTACTTACTCTCTATAATCCTCCTCAGTCTTTTGACGTCGTGGTACATGTAGTACATTATAACAGACCCTCTACTTACTCTCTATAATCCTCCTCAATCTTTTAACATCCTGGTATGTGTAATACATTTTAACAGACCCCCCCTACTCACTCTCTATAATCCTCCTCAGTCTTTTGACGTCCTGGTATGTGTAGTGCATTATACAGTGGGCTAGCAGCTCAGCTCACGCGGGCTCGACCTGTCCCCTTATAAAATCCCTCCACTGACTTTGGGCAAGGAGTAATGAATAACGAGTCTGACATCCGGTTTGTCAATTCCCATTCCGAAGGCAATGGTTGCACATATACATGTAACCTGAAATGCACAGGGTGTCTAGGTGCTTGGGTTTGGACAAATTGTCCAAATTAATGAAACATACTTGATTTTTTTAGGGATGTTAATGAATAGTTGACTATTCGACTATCAGTTGAATGAACCAGCAATTGAATAATGAAACAACATTTTGAATATTTTAATATTTAAACAAGAGGCCCATGAGAAACAACTCTTACTTGAGTAATTTTGACCCTGCCTATTCTTCACTAGATTTCCCTGCCCTGCCATATGGGTCATAATTTGAACATATTCATTTGTGGTCTCAATTTGTTTGTGAGCAATTTAAATTTACACTATACCCTAGAATGCTTCCTCATAAGTTTTAACTTTTCTGGCCCAGTGTTTTTTGAGAAGAAGATTTTTTTTTTTAAAAATTCAGACTTGTTTCCATTCAAAATTTTGATCCCCGATCATGATTTTAACATACTTGAATATACACACACTAAAGATACATGTATTTAAGGAATCACTGTCTAGTTAGGAGCATCAACGAAAGTGGGAAACGTGGGATAATTTGCATAACGGGCAAAGCCATTTGACACATTTTTCAGTAGTATTTCAATAGAGATATATACATGCCACAGGAATTAAAGAGAAATTAACAAGGCGACTTTTGTATTGTTTATCATAGAGAAAACAATTGGAAATGGAAATATCTGCATAATAATAAGACCCCAGGCTTTGCTGTTCTTGAGAAGATATTTAAAGATTTTCCCTTTGTGTTCCCATGCAAATTTTTTATCTCCCTTTGTGGCACCATCCTACTCCTGAAGGTCATGTTTTGAACCAACTTGAATCTAAACTAGCTCACAGTGATTCCACAAAAGTTTATTTTCATGCACAGTTTCTTGACAAGAAGATTTTTTTAATGATGCCATTAGTTTTTAATGAAGTCATAATTATCTCACCTTGGAAGATATGTTGCCCTTAATTTGTACAAATCTGGATCCCCTTTACCTAAAAATACTTTTGGCACGTTTGGTTGAAATTGGCCCTTTGGTTCTTGAGAGGATGAAGATGTGTCTGAAAAGATAATGAGAACAGTCAATAGACAAATTTCGATCAGAAAAGCTCACTTGATCCTTCAGCTCAGCTGAGCTTAAAATACAACAATTTATTAGAGACTACGTGTATATTGTTATTTTGAGATTTATTTTTGAATAGATTCAGGAAAAAGGATTTCTGAGTAATAAATATCTCATTATATGTCTGTTTAAAATAAAAAAAATCATTTTTGGAAAATGTGTCCAAATATTTGACCCCATCGTTCGAATAATGCGATCAAACAATAGACTAGGGAAAATAAATATTTTGATGTCCCTAACCCAGACTCTGAACAATTCTAATCATTAACCGTCTAAAGATGTTTTTTTATTGTTAAATGCTCGGGAGTGATTGTAACTATTTCAAGCAGCTTCAGCATGTAAGTATTTTGTGAAATTGATCACTTATTTTGGAAAACATAATTATCAACACAATATTTTGTTTCTGTTGCACTCCACTCATTATTATTTTCACTTTCTTAGACTTTTATACATTTGACACAAAGACGCATCTACTCTAAATTTCAAATTTCATTTTATCATGGAAAGGGTGGAAATAAGAATTCAGCGTAGACTGAAGAAGGAAGGTTTATTCATTTGTTATATTACATGAATTTCTCTTTACTTGCACAGTAATAATACAGAGTTTTTAATTAAAGAGCATTACAGAGCTTCAACTCTCCACTGCTTTATACAATGCACACAACTGTTTCTTTTGTGGGAAACCATGGAAACAGTTTAAGAGTGAATCATTACGATAAGTTTTATATGATAAATCATTGTCATGTTTTATTGTAATAATGGTCATAGATTCATTGCAGATATTTGATTTTCTTTACTTGTATGTTCAACAATTGCGCAACAAACAGATTGTCATTTGTATCTGTACACAGTCCCCAGGGATTACTCAGTCCACAGTCTATGTAACGGAGGAACTGTCCATCTTGGTCTATGATGTGGACACAGTGATTGTCACGATCAGCTATAAGGATGCGACTCTGACTGTCTGTGGTGATTCCTAGTGGTTTGAATAGTTTGTTCTGTAGAGCAGGAGTATGTCCAGTGTACCTGAATCTCAGTTTCCCTGCCTGATTGACCACCACTACTGCTTTAGCTCCCCAGTCAGACACACAGATATCCAGGTTTTTGTTCTCTGTTATATACCTGCTATAACTACCAGAAGAATATAGAGGTTTGCCTTTATCATCAAACTGAATGGTTTTTATCTCTGTGGAGCCAGAGTAACGGACAACTTTTGCTTGTTTGTTATCATCACTGTCCATGATAACCAGGAGGTCACCAGAGGAGGTACTACAGACACTGCCAGGTCTCCAGTTCTCTAGTCTGATCACCACCTCTATCTTCTCATTCTTCACAATGTTCATAGTTCTATCACTGTAATCAGTGTAAACTACATCTCCACTTTTTGTCACTGCTATGTCCCATGGTTTGTTCACTGACTTGGCTGTGATTGACTTGAGTAGTGATCCATGATTAATGTTGAAGAGTTTCATGTTGCTGTCATATCCATTCGTCCAGATTTCTTCATCACTCAGACAGGCCACATTGTATAGGGTTACATACCCAGTGTCTATGGTGGTAACAGTCTCTGGTTCATCAAACAGCTGTTTGACTGGAGGATAGGATCCAGCTTCTGGTGATTTCTGTGTTGTCTTCATGCTGTAGCCATTTTTATCTGTTGTTAAAGAACTTGGTGATAAGGCTCCAAATATTTTACTTAGTTCTTCCCAATGAATTTTTCCTGGAATGAATTTGGGTAACAATGGTATTAATTTGTGAGGAAGATTTAGGTATCTAGGTACATTAGACATAATACTGAATAGTTGTGACAAATTATTAGTGTCTATTGCAGTTTCCATTGAATTAATTTCTTCCTTGATATCAGAAATGTTCTTGTTTATTTCATTCAGCTGTTTCTGTAGAGTTTGTAACTGCTTGTTTTTCATCTCATCAACTTTAGCTTTAAGTTTCTTGACAAGTATGTCAATTTCTCTGTGCCAGTCTTCTCCATGTTTTGTTATGGCTGTTGAGAGATCTCCATATTCCTTTTCTATTTGACTCAATCTGTTTTGTACATTAGAGGCCATGTCCTGATAGGTTGGATAAATCATGTCATTTAATTCATTTCTTTCTTTTATAATAATATCCTTCTTTTCATCCAGAACTTGCAAGACTTTAGATAATTCATGTCCTAAATGTTGTTTAGATGCCAGACAGCTAAGACAGACAGGACGGTCACAATGTTTACAGTACATTTCACATTGTTCTTTGTCATGAGATGTACATCCAGGGTAGAGGGGAGTGGATTTTCTATCTTTAAAGTCCACAATTTTATGAGGTTTTGAGAGATCAGCAGAAAAGTGTTCTCCCACACAGGCCTTACACAGTTTGACAAGACATGTATCACAGTGCGTCTGTACCACAGCAGTCTCACACAGGTCACATCGCATCACATCCTGGGCACTGGTACGGGGGTCCATCGTATTTTGTAACTGAAGCATAAACAATTCAAACATGTATATTAAGGATTATACATTTATTGACAGAATTTGAAGGCATTCAGGGCAACATGAATTTTTATGGACTCCGACATATAGATATACACGCTTTGAAGATAAACATATAATAGATAGAAAAAAAAAATCATCATATTACATATACAAGACTTTGTAGGAAGGAAATTTTGTTCCCCTTTTTTAAAGCTTGTAATACTAAATTTTCAATACTTTCAGAATTATTTTCATATCCTCAGAAAACTTCTAAATTTCTTACCTGACTTCAGCAATAGTGTCCACCCTGTTGATCAAACTCCAAGTGCAGTCTCTATATACACTGATCATGTGACACACCTGTGTTATCTACCTGTCAGGTGTTTATACTTCCTGGTCTAGATAGGAATTAAATATCTTCAACAACTGCTTTTTGAAATGCATTTATATTTGTTTTGTTTTAAATAGTTTTGTGATTTTTACATGTAGTTCTGCTGGTCAGAAACCAGAAGAGTATATGTCATCTATCTATCTGTGTGTCTGTGTGTAAGCAATTTTTACAGTTATGGCTTGATTTTAATATAGATTGGCACGCTACACAAGTAGACTACACTGAGATACATAATTGCCCCAACTTTCGCGAAAGCGAGATGACATTAAATTTCATTTGTCTGTCCGTCAATTTGTAACAGAAACATATTTTTAGAATGAGAATTAAGAGATAGGACTTTCACATTACATATAATGTGTATAACCTGTGATAAGACCTTTCAAAATGCACTAAAATTTTACCCTGGAACCTTGACCTTGGTGTTTGACCTCTTTTTAAGAAATTTATACATTACTCTAAATTGCATAAAAGTTTGAATCTGAATAGATATGGCTTTCATACTATACATGTGTATAACCTGTGACAAGACCTTTCTAATTACACTTTGATATGCCCTTCACCTTGAAGTTTGCCCTACTTTTCAAAAACTTTAACATTGGTCATAACTTTATAAATTAAGTTCTTTCACCTTTCACTGATTTTTTTCGTGAGATGGGGGTGGGGATGGGGAATGGGCAGAGGGGGAAGTGGTATCAGACCATTCCTTTACCTTACACCGCTGTCTATTGAGCAACATTTCCTGGATAGATATTCTGTCACTGAGTCCTGCATGGTAAGATACAGCCTGGATCCCAGATTTACTTAGCTCACTAGTTAAACCCCCGCTTTTATGTGAATATACACATAATGTGAATAAACACAAGTTCAGATACGGGGAGATGCAAGGATAAATAGGAAATTGACATCGGATTTGAAAAAAATGGTTCACTCATTATGGAACGCCTCTGCAAAGAAAGTGCTAAAATTACAAGCATCTGCGATGAGTGGTTCCTGATAAAACTGTGACGAAAATTTGTTATGTATGGTATGGACAGAGGCAAAGGATAAATAAGAAGTTGACATCAAATTTGACCAAAAACAAATCCTATCACATGGCATACCTCACACAATCATGACAAGGAACACATGGCAGGTGTGACAGGTTTACAGAATATGCTTGGAACCTGATCTGACCTTTTATTTCATGTCTCATCTGCTCCTGATTTGTATAGTTTTAACAGACTTTTGAACATGATCACTGTTTGTTATCTCTATATATTTCGTTTACAGAACCTATGATTTGTTCTTCTATCAAACTCACATCAATATCAGAGTATTTGGTTAAATATAAATCTCTAAAAGAACTGGTCAAGTTTTAAATTCTCAATTGAAATCAGGAAAAAGCCCAAACAAACAAGAAAGAGGTCAAATAATGATTAATAAATGGCTTTATTTACAATTTAATTCATACCAACTTTCATAAATAAATGCTTATTTCATTCATATTTAAAAGTAAGTACCAGCCCCACCACCCAGAAATGATCGCTTGGGTTGTGGGACTGGCATAAATCCTAAGCCACCCCTGGAACTGCTGGAGCCACCTCGAGAACTGCTTGATCCACCCCTCTGGTTTTTTCCAGCACTTGGGACCTTCTTGGATGACCCTCTGGAGAATTTGTAGGCTGAATATTTGCTTCCTTTGTCAGAAAATCCCCTGCAAAAATCAATTCGTTATGAAAGTAAAAATAGGTAATAGATTACAGAGCTCACCTCAACGAATGTTGTCTTTAAAAGGCAAAGTCACACAACCAACAAAAAGTGTACATCCCAAAATGAAAATATTTATGCAACTTTCATCTGATACTTTGGAATAGACCTATATAAAAACTTCAAACTACCTTTTTCATGAGGATGTAATTAAAATATATATCTGAAGCAAATTTGAAGTTTTCATCCCAAATATCATTTGTGCAAGTTTGGTTCATACAATGTTATATAAACCTTTAGTTTTTCCAGTAATAGATGCACCAAACATTTCTGTTCAATTATCTGAAAAATGTATGTCAGCCATTTGAAGCAAGTCCATTCCAAATTATTTATACATGTATCGTCCATAAGTTTGCTATTATAGGGCTCATAGTTATTTGAAAATTGAAATCTGCATAAAGCTTTTCACTCACACAAAATAGGTCATTCAACATTCAAAGCATAAGCCTTTTGTTTGCATCCTTAGATGTATCATCCATGTAAGTTAAGTCATTATAGGGCTCATAGTAACTTAGAAATAAAATGGATCAAATTAATTTAACCTGTTCACTACTGGAAAATGTAGGTCAGATCCAGCATCCGAAGCAAGCCTGGCAGTGTGCATCCTTAGATGTATTATCCATACAAGTTTGATCATTATAGGGCTCATAGTATCTTGGAAATGAGACCTGCACCTTAAACTTTAACCTGTTACAGCTGGAAAACACAGATTCAGCATCCGAAAGTTATATGCAATGAAAATTGTATCATCCAAAAACGATCATTATAGCGCTCATAATTACTTGGAAATGAAACCTGCACCATAAACTTTAACCTGTTCACTCATCTGGAAAATGTAGGTCAGATCCAGTATCCGAAGTAAGTCTGGTAGTATATCCATGCAAGTTTGGTCATTATAGGGCTCATAGTATCTTGGAAATGAGACCTGCACCTTAAACTTTAACCTGTTCACTCAGCTGGAAAATGTAGGTCAGATTCAGCATCCGAAGCAAGCATGGTAATATGCATCCTTAGATGTATCATCCATGCACGTTTGCTCATTATAGCGCTCATAGTTACTTGGAAATGAGACCTGCACCAAAACTTTAACCTGTTCACTCAACCATAAAATGTAGGTCAGATTCAGCATCCGAAGCAAGCCTGGTAGTGTGCATCCTTAGATGTACATGTATCATCCATGCAAGTTTGGTCAACATAGGGCTTATAGTTACTTGGAAATGAGACCTACATCAAAAACTGCACCAAAAATGTTAACCTGCTCCAAAAACATTAACCTGGTCATTCCTTTTCTGAAATTGCAGCATCTGAAACTTTGACTGTTACAATGAAACACACTATAAGCATCTTTCATGTATGTCTAATCAATATAGGACATAGAAGTACTTAAAAAGAAAACTGCTCCAAAAAACGTAATGTGAGCTGACACCGATTTTCTCTTTGCAATAAGCTCCCCCAACTTCGTTGAGGTGAGCTAATAAATACAGTTGTTGTTCATTTTAAAATCTAGATTAGACTATGATATCAAGAATTTAAGTTTTACACGACTTTATTTGGCGACATTTGACAGTAAATGCAAAGTATAGATCAATGCAAGATAGATACTCCACTGTACATCCTTGTTGTACCATAATTGTCTCTGGATAAAAACACATGATGCAGAAATATTGTGGCATGCATTGGAAAAGAACCTCTTTCTAAAAATTTCATAAGACACTCTGATTCCAACACATACAGGTTTATATATTAATCTAAGAAAAAATCCACTTCTTCATAAACAAATTATTTAAAATGTACAGTAGAGATTGGAACAATCTATCAAGCCTGAGAATAAGTAAATTAATGCCCCCCCTCAGTGATGTCTCTTACCCAGAATTCCCTGAACCTGATTGACTTCTAGCGCCTCTCTTCTTTCTTCCAAAACCTCTCTACAAAGTAAAAGAGTAATAATTAATTAAATGAATTCTAAGCACAAGAAAATCTACATTATTCATTATGAACACTTGTTGAACTTTCTTGGAACATGTTAAATACTGGAATTAGTAAATAAATGTAACAAATCAGTGATATTGTTGAAGTACCATTTTGTAGCCCCCCCCCCCTCTTTCTGTCTGTGTTAGATGTAAATAAAAATAACTAATCAGTGATGTTGTAGGCCTCCCTCTTTCTGTCTGTGTTAGATGTAAACTAAAATAACTAATCAGTGATGTTGTAGGCCTCCCTCTTTCTGTCTGTGTTAGATGTAAATAAATGTAACTAATCAGTGATGTGGTAGAGGTACCTTTTTGTAGCCCCCCCCCCCCCCCCCCCCTCTTTCTGCTTGTGTTAGATGTAAATAAATGTAACTAATCAGTGATATTGTAGAAGTACCTTTTTGTAGCCCCCCCCCTCTTTCTGCTTGTGTTAGATGAACCAGCTGACTCATCTACAAAGTAAGGAGACTCCCACTCCGGAACATCTGATTCCACCTCCTCCTCCTCTTGTTGTAAATCTACAAAGGGAGATCAATCTAATATACAAAGGCAGATCAATCATAAGGTACAAAGGGAGATCAAATATACACGGTATACAAGGGAAATCATTCATAAGATACAAATTCAAGGGAAATCAATCAAATATACAAAGGGATATTAATCAAAAGTTCAAAGGGTGATCAATCCAATGTTCAAAGGAGATCAATCCAATGTTCAAAGGAGATCAATCAAATATGCAAAGGGAGATCAATAAAATACACAATGGGAGATCATTCAAAGGGTACAAAGGGAGATCAATCAAATATACAAAGGGAGATCAATCAAATGTACAAAGGGAGATCAATCAAATATACAAAGGGGGATCAATCAATGAAGTAGAAAGGGAGATCAATAACATCATACAAGAAGAAATCAAATATAAATGGAGATCAATCAAGCTATAAAAGGGAGATAAAGCAAACAAAGTAAGACCAATGGAGATCATGAAAAGAATATAGAAGTTCAGTCAAACTAAGTATGAAGGAGACATCTATAAAACAATTTAATTAGATTTTCACTTTACAATGCTGTCTTTCTTTTGGAAATATTCAAAAGTCTTACAAAAAAGCACATTCAATTCAAAACCCTCCTCATTTAAAATACAATTTGAAATCTGTCTCACAACTTGGAATATGCAGATAAGCGTAATTAACTTACTTATGAGGATAAGATGATAATTCTTGGTGATTTCAAGGTATCTCTCAGCACCATATTTGTTCACTTTGGCTTTTGGTAAACCACAGATACTTGCAGTCATCTCGTCTACAGTTAGTGGAGTCTTTTCTGCCAACTGTCGCAGAGTTTAAATCGGGAATACAGTTGCGTAGTTACGTAGGCCATGCTCAGCAGCTGAAAAAAGAATTTCAATGCTTAATCTTCTTCAATATACTACAGTAATGAAAAAAGGAAAGTACAAAAAAACACTAGTTTAAATTTGTTACAAAATCCTTAATCCTAAAACTTAAGCTAGATGTTTCACTGACTTGCTGTAATAAATCTTTGAAAATTTTGTTTTTACTTGAAATAGCAGATCAACTTTGAATAAATGATCAGAGCAATGTTACACCTGTTAAAGACACAAGATAATATTCCAAGTCAACCTTACGGATTGTCTTTGCCATTTCTAGCAGTTCGTTGAGACATTCTTCGATCACGTTCTCGCGTTTACTGACGGGTTCTTTACCAATCTTAGCCACTTCAGTTCTCTTCCTACTGCCCTGTTCCTGTAACTCTACCTATAAATAAGAATTTTTTTCAGAAAGAAAATACGTGAAAATTTCATGTTAATGCACATGTTCTCGTGATTAATGAAACGTAATATTTTTATACAATTACAGTCAAACCTCATTAATTTGAACCAGAATTAGAAAAAAACACCTCGGAAAATCCATCGGTTTCAGATAATGAGGTTGAAATACAAAAAGATTGAGCAGTTGGGACTTTAAAGTTCCAACTATGACGTATCCAAAATATCTAAGACAATGATACTTAAAACTTACTATATATCAAGGATTGGAGACTGAATTTTCAAAAATAAAACCAATTAGTTTCAATTTATGTATTAGAACTTCTAAAAAATCAAGACATCTTGATCTAAAAATTTTTTTTATATATAGGATATTTTTCTCCATACATAATACTTTTTGGGAGCCCTACCTTGCGCTTTCCCATCATCACGTCATTGGCTTTAGGTCCGAGTCTGATATAACAAGCTGTGGTGTCTGCCGCAGTAATTTTTAGATCCTTGTGTAAAATGTCGTCAATAACTAATTTTCTCAGCAGTCTTTCAGCATCAGCCCTGCTGTAATTTTTACCACGACCATGAAGGGGTATTCGATCATGTCCGGCATCGGAAATTTTCCCAGTTTTAGCTCCTTGAAATGTAAATTAGGTCACCATAATTATCATTTAGAATGGTACACACACATGTACATATATACTTCTAACTAGTAATCTAGTATTGTTGATAAAGCAATCATTAACATTGTATTTACAACTATAGTGCTTATATCAATGACAGTGATAAAATTGGTCAGGTGTTTACTGTAAGATTTCAATTATTTTTTTAAAAACTGAACAGAATGTTGATAACACTAGAGATAGGTCACATACAGTGAAACCTGTTTTCCAAAATCTTTACTTTCCAGAAAAAAATGGTGGTAGCATAATTTCCATTTCAAATAAATAAATATTTATCAAAATTATTAAAGCTAAGGCTTCATTAATCTAGACAATCTTCTTAGAATACAAGTGTCAGGATGAATGATACTCCATTAAGAATGGTCTCAGATTCACAGCAAGTTTTCTTTACCTTTAAATATATCCACAAAGTAGATAAGAGTGTACCTCCAAGTATATCCACAAAGTAGATAAGGGTGTAGTCGTTTCCCCGTCTTCCATTGACGGTCAGCTCTTTCACACATTTCACAATCTCCTTGACATCGTCTGTGACATCACGGAGTTGGAAGGACTCCTTAAAATAAAAGAATTAAATAATCATCCAAAATTGAAGATGCAAACCCTCCACAATTATATCATTTTTAAATATCAGAAAAACCATTAACATTTGCAATGTGGAATGAAATGAAGCACTGTGAAATGTGTTGAGTCAAAATTCAGATAAAAGTAAACATATTGTCAATTTTGAGAATTCTGATGTTATATCAGGTACTGTTCTATTAAGAACCAACGCTTACACTAACATAAACTATTACCCTTACCGAAAAAACAAGCTTGCTGCGAATACTTTCCGCAAGTTAGCAGCAAACATTGCCGCAAGTTAGCCGCAAACATTGCTGCAAACTTGCCGCAAGTATCAATAAACTCTTTATATGAAGGATTCATTGCTGCAAGTTTGCGGCATATTAGCTGCAAGCTTGCAGCAATGATTTTACCATGCAAATGAAGTTTGCGGCAAGCTTGCAGCTAACAATTTAATGCCCATATAGAGAGAGGCTGCTGCGAACATTGCCGCAAACTTGCGGCTAACCTTGCTGCGAACATTGCTGCAAACTTGCCGCTAACCTTGCTGCGAACATTGCCGCAAACTTTGCTGCGAACATTG